CCCAGCGAACACGATGATGTTGGTCAACGATGGTTAACGATATTCGTCGGTAAATATAGTCGACGGTACCGTGGATCGACAACCTCGGATGGGGGCAGAACAATTAAATGGTCCGGAGAGTAAACGATGCACAACTACGTCAAGTGGTTTTTTGAGTCAACGATTCGTAAGCAACAACGGTGCGTGGTACAAAGGACACTCAACGATCGTGTGGCATGGAGATTCGAAGAAAAGCACTCAAGACGGACACAATCAAAGAAAAGACAGACGAAGACATGCGAACGCAACAGCGATCAAGTGCGCAAAGAATACTTCGGGCGGGAAGACCGAAGTAGAAAGTATGATGCAGCCGAATTCAGGCGGCGGGGGGAACGAAGCAAGGAAGGCAGATAAACGCAGAAACTATTCGGTGTCGTCGCCGTCGGAGTCGACATCGTCGTCGTTGTTGTCGTTGTCGCGGTTGCCGGTGTCGTCTTCGTCGTCGCCGTGGGAAAATTCGGGGTCCTGTTCGTCGTCGCAGTTGTCGTCGCCGTCTTCGTTCCTTGTTCTTCGAGTTCTTTTCCAGAAGAGTACATAGGCGCGGGAACGGGATTGAGAGCGGACCTTGCGTTTTTGTTGCCTTTCGTCGCGCGCCTGAGGGAAGACCTCCGTTGTGTTCATTGTTGCTAGCAGTTCTCAGCGAGCGTTGTTGTTTGTTGCAAAGCCCACACCATCCATGAACACATCAGAGCCACTTGGCCACGACGAGACCAAGAGCCCGAGGTATACGTCATCGTGGAGAAGATCCATGACCCACAAGGACCGCAAAAGCCAAAGGCGCCTTAGTTACCAAAAGGCAAGAACAAAATGCAAGAAGAGATTTCCCTAGTCTTCCGTCAGGCGCGCTGAGTGGTTCTTCTCCAGAAGAGTCGGCGCGGGAACGGCATGTACTCTGTCCCGGTTCACCATGGTTTACATATCACGTGCTTGTGCTACGGTTGAGACCCGCCGGGTAACCGGGTTAATCCGGGTACCCGGCTATTTTCCGTAACCGGGTTAATCCGGGTACCCGGCTATTTTCCGTAACCGGGTTAGTCCGGGTACCCGGCTATTTTCCGGGGGGGGGGGGGCGAACCCGGTCTCGAGTAACCCCAGAATTTCGGGACTGAAATTCGGGCCGGTACGGGTACCCAGGTACCCGCCATGTATGATATGTAGCTTATGTTCGGTCGTGTTAGGGGTGTTTTAGCGAGCTTCTTGTTGTGATGCCACTCAAACCGCGTACTTCTTCTAAGTCCGGCGTACCTCGATAGTCTGCTGTTGCAATAAAACTGCTGCGGCGCACCACTTTCTAGTGCCGCTGCTTTACCGCGGATGCTTTTTGTGTGTCCATGGCTATGCATGCGTGAAAAGAGTTAGCAGGTACCGCCCGCACTTGCTGTAGTGTCTTGGCAGTTATGAACTTCACGCTCAACAACATTGGATCGAACTTATCATGAACTTGATTTCGTACCGTTTGTGAGCCCGGTTTAGAAACCCTACACTACTGTAAAACCTATATATCGGTCATTTGTAGCCCACCAGAAAGAGGAACTAAGAACCTCAGCCACTGCGAAAGCTAGAGGTGCGGCGCTATCTGTAGATGAACAAGAAAAATCGAACAGAAGCACATAATAATAAGCAAGTTACAAAACAAAAACCGTTTATTTTTCTCTGTGTTTGTTTGGGTGATGGTTGGGACCTGTTTTTCTTCATGGCCCTAATCCGGTGACAAATCACCCTAGACAAAGAGTGGCATCCTCTGGGCTATATTCATCGTGACAATGTCCTGCTGGCTCTCCATGATCACAATTGTAGGTAGGCGGCTGGTAGGCACTGAGTATACGCAAGACCGCACGTATGCAGAGCAGCAGATCAGGACCCTCGGCTTGATACATAGCCTTCGTGTGTGCACCTTGAGGTGAATATCAATATCCCCACTCCCCCCCCCCCCCCCCCCCCAAA